TATATTATTCATGTTTTGTGGTAATAAGCTATTCCGCTTTTACAATATAAAGACTAAAGATCTTATCTAAATACACAAAGACAAATTGGATCAATATATATATTGAGTATATTGCTACTGAACAAATTCAATCAAACAACCAAACGAACAACTAGCATACAATTTATATAAAAGTTAAGATCTGGAAATAAAGACCTGCTATTTATATTTTGTGGGAAGTAATGGAACATAGATGGATAGCCTGGGAGAGTGTCCACGACCAAACAGTTTCATTTATCGATAATTGAGAAATATTTACCGACACCTAAATTTGAACCCCTAAAATGAAATTTGGGGAGAATACTGGATGCTGATGTTGTGAGTTCGAGCTTCATCTGGAACGATTTTAACCATTAGACCAAATTGTCCTATTTATCGATAATAGCAAAATAATTAACATCCCCTCAAATTCCCCCGAAAATGAAAAACTGGGGAACATACTGGATGCGAATGTTGTAAGTTTTAAACCACCGTGACTACCATCTGTCCAAGTTACTGAGCCGTAGCTTCAATAAACGTGAAATAGAGCGAAATATAAATCTTTTTTCCAATATATTGATTTGACTTTTTTATTCATGTTTTGTTTTAACATTCTTTTCCGCATTTACAATGTAAATATCTTATCTATATCCACAGAGACAAATTACATCAATATATATTAATATTTCATTACTACTTAATAACATGTTCCGTGAATACCAAATTGGATTTAACAGCGACCAAAAACGAACCGAACAATTGATCTACAGAGATAGGATTTTGATGAATAGTCTGGGAAGAAAAAACATATAAGACGGCTCAATTATATGAAGAACTACGGCCTCTTCTCTGGTTATTAGTCCATGTCGGGTATGAGGTTAGTTAGCCATCTTTTTGTTTCAGATGCATGGATTGATTCAATGACAGTGAAATCGAGTGAAATACACACATCTTTTTATATAGCAATTTGTCTCTCTTATTCATGTTTCGTTTTAATAAGCTATTCCGCTTTTACAAAGTAGAGAGTATTTTTACAAATCTTCTAAAAATTCACAGAGACAAATTAGATCAATACGTATTTAATAGCTCATACCTACTGAATAATAAGTTCAAAAACCAACTGAGCAAAATATTTACCACCCTCTAAATTTGGAAACGCGACCAAGTTATGTTCTGTGTTAATAGGCTATCCCGGTTCTACAATGTAAAGATCTTATCTATTTCCACAGAAACGAAATCAGATCAATGTATATTAATATATCAATATTACTACCAAATAACATGTTTATTGAAGAACGGTCAAAAACCAAAGGAGAATATCGGTTAGAGACCGAAGACTTATCGATCGAAAGTTAGGGGATCCCCAAAACAGCGCTCTTACTTCATAGTGACACCTTGTGTCCCATCACTAATTAAATAATAACTCGCTAATTATACGACATAATTCATCCAAAATCAATAGGCTTCTGGTCCGACGTATGATGAATGCACATGCAAAACATGGAGCAGATTTAATCTTGCTTTCGTGAGATATCGCGTGCATCTAACAGACAAGCAGACAGACAAACAGACAAATACCTATCAACATACTTACCGATTAAAATCGATAAGTAACAACTAATTCAAAAGCATATAATTTTCATATTCATCCCGGGGAGAGGAAAACAGATGTGACGGGTTAATAAGATGAACCACGACCTCTTGTCCGGTTACCAGTCCATGTCGGGCATGGGATTCGTTAGTCGTTGTACGAAAAGATATTGATCGTTTCTGAAAACACATGTAGAGGTTTTGCAATCAATATCAGCGAAATATTACATTATATACCATGGTTTTAATCGGGGAATTTGGTTTGTTTTATTCATGTTTCGGGCGGTTCCATTACATTTGAACCCACGTACATTTGAACCCATGACAATTGCACCTGTATGCTATTGCACCTATGGAATTTTTTTTTGTTTCACGGATAGTTAAAACCATACTAACCCTAACCCATGGGTTTTAGCACCCGCATATAGATTGAACCTGTGGATATACGCATGGGTTCAAATGTACGGTCACCGTTTCGGGCTACTAAGCTATTGCGCTTTTACAATGTAAATTTCTTATCTAAATCCACAGCGACAAAAACAGAAATCAACACGTATTAATATTTATTTACTACAGAACAACAAGTTTAGTGAAGAACAAATTGGATTGAACAACTAAACCAGGGGTCGGCAAACTACGGCCGATACGAGCAATATAATCCGGCCCGCAACGCTTCCCTGAATTATATTAACAAAACAGCTGTATTGACGATTATAATCTTTACGTGGCAGAATTTGTTTTGAGACACTAAAATGTATTATAACCTAACAAGTATATAATTCACAATGACTCGTTTAATGAGCCTATAATTGAATATAATTAGACAAATGGCAACAGAACGTAAAAAAGTTGATGCTGAGTGCAAATGGTTTAATGACTCAGAAAATATTCAAATAATCAGTCTTCGCGCACTGCTTGAAACTTAACTGAAATCTGAGTGAAAAAATGTGATTCATTGGCCATTCCTTCGGTTTTTAACTTTTTTTAAATATGTGCGGCCCGCCAATGACATGCAACCGTTAATTTTGACCCGCGAACGACAAAAGTTTGCCGACCCCTGAACTAAACAAACAACTATTTTACAATTTATATATTCAGTTGAGACTCGCGATTAAAATTTTGTGAGAACTTATGAAAGATAGGTGAATGGATATTCTAGGAGAGTGTCCACGGCCAAATAGTTTTAGTTATCGATAATAACTAGATGTTTATCAACCCCTAGATTTGGAGACCCTCTTCATTCTAAACTAAAAACTGAAGAGGAGACTGGATGCGAATGTTTTAAGGTTGAGCTTCATCTGGAACAATTGTAACTACTATGACAGGCGCTCCCGAAGTATGTGCACAAACATGGCTCACAACCTGAACCCTAACCTGGTACACATACTATGTTCAGGTTGTGCGCCATCTTGGTGCACATACTTCTGGAGGTCCCCATGACACAATCTGTTCAAGCTAATGAGCCGCAGCGTATAGCTCCAATAACCGTGAATTAGGACCAAATTATCCATATCTAGTGCTGATAAGCTCTTCCGACTTTACAATGTAAAGAGCTTATGTAAATCCACAAAGACAAATTAGATCCATACATAAGTCGACTGAATAACGTGTTTCGCAAACGCTATTGCCGCTTTTACAATGTTATCTAAATCCACAGAGACAAATTAGATTATAATTATCCCGGGGGAGAGGAAAGGAACAAGATGGCTTCTACATTGTAAAGATCTTATCTAGATCTTCATAGACGGGGACACAAATCTGATCAACACGTATTAATATTTCATTACTACTGAAAAACATGTTCCACGAAGAACAAATTGGATTGAGTAAAGACCAACAATCGAACGAGAATATCGGTCGGAGACAGAAGACTTATCGATCGAAACTGCGGTTTCGATTCATGACTCTATAGTGACACCGCGTGTCCCATCACTAATTAATTAATAACTCGCTAATTATACGACATAATTCATCCAAAATCAATAGGCTTCTGGTCCGAGATATGATGAATGCAAATTAACAAATACCTATCAACATACTCACCGATCTTAAGATCGATAAGTAATAACTAAAGATCGGATTTTAATATTTATCCCGAGTAGAGGAAAGCCGATAAGATGGTCTATTTATAATACGAACCACGGCCTCCCCCAAACTTAACTGGTATATATAGGATTCACAGTTATTGGATGACTATATTGTGGTATTGATAAATTACAAAAAGATAAACAAGCATATATATGACAAACACATAATGATGAAACGATGGACTTCTCCACTATGTTCAAATCGCCAATTCATTCAGTATTCTTCTTATGTGTTCATAAATTTACCACGGTTCCACAATGTTCAAGATCTTATGCGTCAACATTCGTTAAATGCGGATCATTTGTTTTCGTTCAACTAATAATAACTAAAAGCAGGTTTATAATAATTTTTTATCAGCAGTCTCTACTATAATAATTACGCTATGCGCTGTTCTGAAAGAAAAACCCAAAACTTTTACTGCTTTTAAATGCACCTAAGTAAACAAACATTAACGGAACAATCCAACAAAAAGCTTCGTTTGGCTAATACTTCAGGCAGTTTTATGATAATTTGTTTTTCTTGTCAGCAATCTCAGCTATAATAATTATTACTTGTAAATCTACCCATAATATTCTACCCATAACAACCAGTTTAAAACGGCTCGACTATAAACTGAGGAACATGAGCAGGGAGAAGCAACCCAGAGATTAATAAAAAGGTATATTCACACGTACAAGATAAATTGCTTTGCGGAAGGCCTTTTGCAAACACTTTTTTTTCTCAAGATTTTGCTTAGGCAAACTATTGTTCATCACGTTTTATAAATGTCAATTGTGGGAGTAAAAATTGCTTTAGGTGAGGCTCGAACTCATAACCTCCGCATCACTCCGTAACTGTCTTATAAGTACGGCGCGCTAACCGATTGTGCCACTGGAGCCGCTCATTCCGGCCAGAGTCCTGAATAATCTGCTAAGATCAACCAGCCATTAATGTTGCGGTTACATGCAGTAATAAACAAATATGTTTCTCCAGGTGAGGCTTGAACTCACAACCTCCGCATCACTCCGTGACTTTCATATAAGTACGGCGCGCTAACCGATTGCGCCACTGGAGCCTCTTTTTCAGACCAGCGTTGGGACTAATCAGCCATCGATGTTGCGGTTACATGCAGTAATGAACAAATGAGCTGCTCCGTGTGAGGCTCAAACTCACAACCTCCGCATCACTCCGTTACTCTCATAAAAGTACGGCGCGCTAACCGATTGCACCAATGGAGCCGCTTTTTCCAGCCAGCGTCCTGAACAATCTGCCAACATCAATTAGCCATTGATGTTGCGGTTACATGCAGTAACAATCGAATAGGTTGCTCCAGGTGAGGGGTGAGGCTCGCACTCACAACCTCCGCATCACTCCGTAACTGTCATATAAGTACGGCGCGCTAACCGATTGCGCCACTGGAGCCGCTTTTTCAGGCCAGCGTTGGGACCAATCAGCCATTATAATTGCGGTTACATGCAGTAATAAACAAAAAAGGTGCTCCAGGTGAGGCTCGAACTCACAACCTCCGCATCACTCCGTAACTGTCATATAAGTACGGCGCGCTAACCGATTGCGCCACTGGAGCCGCTCTTTCCAGCCAGCGTTCTGAACAATCTGCCACTGATGTTGGGGTTACAATACTGTAATAAACAAATAGGTTGCTCCTGGTGAGGCTCCAACTCACAACTTCCGCATCACTCCGTAACTGTCCTGTAAGTGCTGCGCACTAACAATGATCGCGCCAATGGAGTGGGCTGGCCTTCTCTTATTCTACTACAAAACTTTCGACTCGCTTCTTGTGATAACCAATATTTATTTAACTCTTTCATCATGACGCATCGTGGTAGATTGTGGCTTGAGTTCGAAATATATTTTAAAAAAGGATGGTTGTATTTTTTCAAATATTTTTATATGCTTCGGAACTCGTCAGCTCCAGTGGCGCAATCGGTTAGCGCGCCGTACTTATATGACAGTTACGGAGCGATGCGGAGGTTGTGAGTTCGAGCCTCACCTGGAGCAATTTTTTCACGCAAGCAAGCAAACCTTTTGAACGATAACACCTGATTGACCGATATCGACTTTCACTATTCTATTTCTAAATGTTTACATGATATATGCGCTGATATTTTCTATCTTTCACATTTAATGATACTCATGAAGCAGGGGTGTGCAACAGGCAGCCCGCGGCCATAACTCGGTTCGCCAAGCCATTTAGTGTGGTCCTTGTCAACACTCAGATTTTCCACATCAAGCATAAAATCCTAATCAGACAGGTTGTTTGAATAGCCGTTCACGTGGTTAGAAATACATAATAATTTTGCTCTTATAGTCACTTTTAGGCTTCTGCCGTTTTCTCCGGTGCCTTTATAGCTGGAAAGGTGAGCGATAGCTACATTCTTTTATATTGCCTTTCCCGCGGCGCTCTGGCTGGCAACAATTTTTTTATTTCGTTGTGTACATGGGAAAACTAAATTTTTTGTGTGGCCCAGCTAGATGTCTGAAGTTGGTTACATGGTCCATTAGACAAAAATATTGCCCATTCTTGCCATTAATCGAAACTTTAATGACCTGAAATTATATCTTTGAATACTTTCAAGTGATGTTCAATGGCCTATATTTTATGCGAACCTTTGCAAAAGAAACGACGAACAATAGTTCATCGTGGCTTGGATATTATCACCGCTGCACCAAGTATCAAACTCACGTGCCATTTTTCAAACAGTATTTTTGTGGGTTCAGCATGCAAAAGTGAAATTCCTCCAGGTGAAGCTCGAACTCCGCATCACTCAGTAACTGTCATACAAGTACGGCGCGCTAACCGATTGCGCCACTGGAGCCGCTTCCTCCAAACAGCGCTGTGAAAAATCTTTCACTGGTGTTGAGGTTACAAACAGTAATAAACAAATAAGTTGCTCCAGGCGAGGCTCGAACGCACAACCTCCGCATCTGTCATATAAGTAAGGTGCGCTAACCGATCGGGCCACTGGAGCCGCTTCCTCCAACAATCTTTCTGAACAATCAGCTGCTGATGTTGGAGTTACATGCAGTAATAAACCAATAAATTGCTCCAGGTGAGGCTCGAACTCACAACCTCCGCATCACTCCGTAACTGTCATATAAGTACGGCGCGCAAACCGATGGCGCCACTAAAGCCGCTCTCTTTAAACAGCGTTGTGAACAATCTGCCACTAATGTTGAGGTTACAAACAGTAATAAACCAATAAATTGCTCCAGGTGAGGCTCAAACTCACAACCTCCGCATCACTCCGTTACTCTCATAAAAGTACGGCGCGCTAACCGATTGCACCACTGGAGCCGCTTTTTCCAGCCAGCGTCCTGAACAATCTGCCAACACCGATTAGCCATTGATGTTGCGGTTATATGTAGTAACAAACTAATGGGTCTCTCCAGCTGAGGCTCAAACTCACAACCTCCGCATCACTCCGTAACTGTCATATAAGTACGGCGCGCTAACCGATTTTGGCACTGGAGCCGCTTTTTCAGACCAGCTTTGGGACCAATCAGCCATTAATGTTGCGGTTACATGCAGTAATAAACAAAAAAGGTGCTCCAGGTGAGGCTCGAACTCACAACCTCCGCATCACTCCGTAACTGTCATATAAGTACGGCGCGCTAGCCGATTGCGCCACTGGAGCCGCTGTTTCCAGCCAGCGTTCTGAACAATCTGCCACTGATGTTGGGGTTACAATACTGTAATAAACAAATAGGTTGCTCCTGGTGAGGCTCCAACTCACAACTTCCGCATCACTCCGTAACTGTCCTGTAAGTGCTGCGCACTAACAATGATCGCGCCAATGGAGTGGGCTGGCCTTCTCTTATTCTACTACAAAACTTTCGACTCGCTTCTTGTGATAACCAATATTTAATTAACTCTTTCATCATGACGCATCATGGTAGATTGTGGCTTGTGTTCGAAACATATTTTAAAAAAGAATGGTTGTATTTTTTCAAATGTTTTTATATGCTTCGGAACTCGTCAGCTCCAGTGGCGCAATCGGTTAGCGCGCCGTACTTATATGACAGTTACGGAGCAATGCGGAGGTTGTGAGTTCGAGCCTCACCTGGAGCAACTTTTTTCACGCAAGCAAGCAAACCTTTTAAAAGATAACACCTGATTGACCGATATCGACTTTCACTATTCTATTTCTAAATGTTTACATGATATATGCGCTGATATTTTCTATCTTTCACATTTAATGATACTCATGAAGCAGGGGTGTGCAACAGGCAGCCCGCGGCCATAACTCGGTTCGCCAAGCCATTTAGTGTGGTCCTTGTCAACACTCGGATTTTACCCATCAAGCATAAAATCCTAATCAGACAGTTTGTTTGAATAGTCGTTCACGTGGGTAAAAATACATAATAATTTTTGCTATCGTCGCTGCATTAAACCGGTTTCCCGGTGTCTTTATAGCTGGGAGGGTAAACCATAGCTGCATTCCCTTATCCTGCCTTTCCCGCGGTGTCTGGTTGTCGCTATATTTTTAATTCGCTGTGTACATGGAAAAACTAAACTTTTTGTATGACTCCCACTAGATGTCTGAAGTTGTTTATATGGTTCAAAGGAAAAAAATATTGCACAACCCCCGCTATAAATAAACCTCTTAATGATCTGAAACTCTGTAAATGGTAAACATTGACCTATATATTATGCGAACATCTGGAGAAAAAGCGGCGAACAATGGTGCATCGTGGCTTAAAAATTATTTACCGTTTCATCCGGTATCAGACTCATTTGCAATTGTTTAAACAGTACTTTGATGGGTTTAGCATGCAAAAGTAAAAAATGTCCAGGTGAGGCTCGAACTCACAACCTCCGCGTCACTTCATCACTATCATATAAGTACATATAAGTACGGCGCACTAACCGATTGCGCCACTGGAGCCGCATTTTCAGACCAGCGTTGGGACCAATCAGCCATTGATATTGCGGTTACATGCAGTAATAAACAAATAGGTTGTTCCAGGTGAGGCTCGAACTCATAACCTCCGCGTCAGTCCGTCACTGTCGTAAGGGTACGGCTCGCTAACCGATTGCGCCACTGGAGCCGCATTTTCAGACCAGCGTTCTGAACAATCTGCCACTGATGTTGGGGTTACAATACAGTAATAAACAAATAGGTTGCTCCAGGTGAGGCTCCAACTCACAACCTCGCGCATCACTCCGTAACTGTCCTGAGAGTACGGCGCACTAACAGATCGCGCCAATGGAGCGGGCTGGCCTTCTTCTATTCTACTACTAACATCTTGGTATTCTCTCTACTTCACATTTAATGATACCCATAAACCAGTGGTGTTCAACAGGCGGCCCGCGGGCCACAACTCTACCCGTCTAGCTATTTAGTGTGGCCCTTGTCAACACTTTGTCATATAAGTACGGCGCGCTAACCGATTGCGCCACTGGAGCCGCTTTTTCAGACCAGCGTTGGGACCAATCAGCCATTGATATTGCGGTTACATGCAGTAATAAACAAATAGGTTGTTCCAGGTGAGGCTCGAACTCATAACCTCCGCGTCAGTCCGTCACTGTCGTAAGGGTACGGCTCGCTAACCGATTGCGCCACTGGAGCCGCATTTTCAGACCAGCGTTCTGAACAATCTGCCACTGATGTTGGGGTTACAATACAGTAATAAACAAATAGGTTGCTCCAGGTGAGGCTCCAACTCACAACCTCGCGCATCACTCCGTAACTGTCCTGAGAGTACGGCGCACTAACAGATCGCGCCAATGGAGCGGGCTGGCCTTCTTCTATTCTACTACTAACATCTTGGTATTCTCTCTACTTCACATTTAATGATACCCATAAACCAGTGGTGTTCAACAGGCGGCCCGCGGGCCACAACTCTACCCGTCTAGCTATTTAGTGTGGCCCTTGTCAACACTTTGTCATATAAGTACGGCGCGCTAACCGATTGCGCCACTGGAGCCGCTTTTTCAGACCAGCGTTGGGACCAATCAGCCATTGATGTTGCGGTTACATGCAGTAATAAACAAATAAGTTGCTCTAGGTGAGGAAAATATTGCTCACCCTTGCCATCAATCGACCCTTGAATAACCTGAAAATATGTATTTGAATGATTCCAAGTGGTGTTCAATGGCCTATATTTTATACGAACCTTTACAAAAGAAATGACGAACAATGGTTCATCGTGGCTTGGACATTATTGCGCTGTATCCAGTATCAGACTCACGTGCTATTGTTCAAACTTAAATTTGATGGTTTGGCATGCAAGATTTAAAACTGCTCCAGGTGAGGCTCGAATTCACAACCTTCGCATCACTCCGAATCTGTCATATAAGTACGGTGCGCTAACCGATTGCGCCACCGGAGCGGGCAGGTATTATTCTTTTACTTAAATAAAAACACATCGATAAAACAAGTGTGATAACGCAAACTCTA